TTATCAGATTTTACATCCATGTCAAATGTCAATTATGGAATACAGAGTAGCCAAACGAGCCCTTGAGCAGTGATCACCTTGTCAATCAAAATTAGGCCGTCTTTTGAAAGTCAAGAGATCAAATATTATTAACCAATGAACGCACACAACTGTTCACACAGCACCAGCGCGATGGCCGTTAAGCGTTATTGTTTAAAGACGGGCTTTTACGAACCGTAAATAAAAAAGCACTGCAATGTTTATAGCTTGAAGTGTTAAAGATAATAAAGGAGAATGCTACAAAGAGGTGCATAATCGAACGTACAAGTATCAGTAACACCCCTTTTATTTATGAACGGTAAGCGATTCCAAAAAAATATTGTTAAATATACAGTGGCGGGTTGCAGCGCTGCCTATAAACACAGTTTATTCGTACAATTTTGTTACCGTATCTGTGTTCTTGAACAAAGTTATTACAGTTCATTGGCATCGTTTAGTGCGAGTAATTGAAACCTTCGTGGTATAATTATTTGCCGCCATTAAATTTTCAGATTACTCGAGCGCTACTAGTTACGCAGACAGGAGACATGACTTATTTAGTGCCCATGTTGCGTTTCCATCTTTAATCTGCGTGGGCGCATATTTCTGAGAAAACATTTCTTGTTGACCGTACATAATGCTGCCAAGAAAACAGAAGTAATAATGTTAGCCATACTTGTATGGTGAAGAAGTCCGTAAATGAATCATCGCATATGCGTTCCTCGTCTGGCCGCAAAAAGAGGTTTGTCGAAAATGCGTCTCGTTTGGTGCTCAGTGCGCGCTCGGTGCCCGCTGGCCCTTGTCTGTACTCATCCCTTATTTATTTATGGTATGAGGAATGTATGAAGAATGTACCGTTTTTGTGGCCCCATAACAGCGTGCGTCCTGCGCAGCTACAAACCAAGACAGTGAATTCTTTAATTGACGAAATGTAGCAACTCCACATTCCACCTCAGATCGTTAGCTTTAATGTGGGAATACAAAATGGATTAATAATGACACATTTTCACTGTTGCAAAATTGGTATCGTTACTTATTGTCAGCTAAATTGTAATTTGATAATTACAAACAGGTAATTTCATGTTAATCGTATTTTAATAAATAACACATTTAGTTTATGCTCCAGAAAATAAACTTGTATCGTAATTTCTAATGGCTGCTATAAATAAATTTACCGCGTAGTTTAATGTGATGCATTTAATGTATAATATTAATATTTTGAAATCGGATACCAATTTACGTAAAATAAATGTTATTAACTATTTTTGGTAGTCGTTATTTAAGTGATGACTATAATGCGTGTTCCGCAGCATTTGCGTATTTAAGATTACTCGAGCGTAGTAATGCTTAAAAGTAAGAAACGAATGATGAAGAGAAATGGAAATATGATTTTATTTCGACTTTACATATTCAGGTAATACAGCTCGAACTGCAAAAGTTCAAGTGCTATCTATTGTTTATTTATACGCTTGACAGACTAAGAGAAAAGTTATTGAAAGTCGGGTAACTCCTGTTAACCGTATAACCTCGGTAAGGTCCTGCTAACCGTACAACTTTTTATGACAGTAATTTTATGAGCACATATATCTCGTAGTATAGACATCAACGTATCTCGACTAGAAAAATAAGTTTATAGCATATTTTCTTAGCTTCGCATTATCTCGGCGTAATGAGTCGTTAGTTGCGATCGATACTAGTTTCTCTTATCACCGATGATAAAACATGCGTAGATTTAGCCACACCCTGCACTTTCCCCGCAGCTCCACACCTGCCGGGTGAGAGAGGTGAAGCTGCGCAGCCTGTTCCGCCGCTAACGCGTGATTCAATATATTCTACAGTCCAGCTAACGTTTATGGATATGTAGCTACGTGAGGTTATTGCATATGGAGACAGGTTAAATAGCCCCACGAGAAAGTTTCCCTTACAAGTCAATATGAATGTTCATCGATACACGTCAAATATGTCTACGATGCTGGCTAGGTATAGGTACAGGAGAGTTCTTTTATTTGTCGAGGCTGGGTTTTAATTAATAACGAGCCAGAGAAGGCGCGAGGCAACGACCGCCGCGGCCGCAGCCCTACGAGACATGCGTGCCGCTCCGTTACGACACCTACACCAAATTTTTCCACATGCCCGAGCAGCAGATAAGCGGCGAGCGCCGCCAACGTGTTATTTATTAACGAACCGAATGATCGATAGTTGGACGCGTCACCGGACGTAGACGTGGACGAGCGACGCCTTTCGAAACTCGCCGCCGCCTCGTGTACGGCTCTGGACCTCCAATAAATTGACCCCACAATCAATCGACCTCAAAACTAATCATGTTACATGCTAAGTAGCGCCAAACGTATCATCACCTACAGAGAGATTTATTTTCAACGATTTAGACATTACATCATGTCAGACAATTTAACTCTGGAATATTTCCGATCATATTCTTTTGATCTTAATGCAAAAGTCTTAAAATGTCGGCTGAAATTCTTTTGAAGGTAAATTTTGGCATTTCGCGAGATAAAGTTTCATTTATTTCAAACCCGTGACATTAATTGCGAGGACGTAAAACACTTATTCAATTTTGCCTCTCTCCTGATGTCGAAAAAAAAAATTTCACTTTCATCGCTATCGGTATCATCGGTTTATAGTGGTACTTATTCAAGGGTTTATGTGCACGTAAGTTGTCTGAGAAACGGTCGTGTACTGAATGGCCGTGCCGAATGCTTTGTTTGTGTAGTGCAGCGCTTCAACCCTTACGGAGTCATCCGTTCCGCTCCAGCATACGTCACGTCGCGTCGTGACAGCTGTGCGCGTTACTTTCTAATCGCTCCATTCAATAGACAACGCCAAACAAACAGACAAGGAGTACGCGACTTGCGAAACTTTAAATGCCTCGAACAATTGACAGCAAAGAAAGAGTAATCAATTAATTATTTATTGAGGTGCCAGTCAACAAATGCTTTGTCAATTGATTGCGTAAATCACGATGCTCTACTTGCATATCGTATTAGTCTAGTCTAGAAATACTTAGGTCATTCATTTGGTTCCAAAAAACGTTTCCTGTATTCAAATGAACTGTTTGGGTAGAAATTCAGTTGATTAATTGAAATGTATCTAAATCTGTGCCAAAATTGGCACAATAACAAAAATGTTTTGCACATCATATGTTTACTTGTAGTATCGGCTCGAGCCAAACGTGATAGGAAACGGTCGGAATTTCGAGGTTCAGCTGCGCAGGGCAGGTTAGACCAGTCCCGGTGGCCTCGCAAGGACCCAGTAAACCTGTTAGATTCGTTGCACGATTTTTACGTGCGCACCTACCGGAATCTCATTCACGTGGTGCACCCGCGCCGCCCGGCCCCTGCCAGTTAACTCGTCAAATGACTCACGCTTCGGCTGGTTAAATGCCAGAAGCTGGCTTTTCCAGTTCTCGATCCAATTCGCACTTTGTGTTCTCACTTGACACTAACACGATGTTCTACTGATTGCATTAGTTCATCGATTAAGTAATGATAACATCATTCAGTTGATTCCATCAACGCCATAATAGAGCTTGCAAGGATGTAGCAAATATGTATCGTTTACGTACTGAAATTTCATATTGAGAAGAAAATGCTTTCTTGCCTCTTTCCTCATTTCATACAAATTAAAACAATGTCACATGAATGTACTCATATAGGGAAAGATTGCAAATATTGTAATAGAGGTATCATAAAATTTGGTACTTCTTATGATTTTTGTGACAGAAGAAGCATCACCAAAATGTGAATTTTAAAAACAGCTGTCGTGAGCATTCCTGACTATGTTTGTATCTTCCATTAATGCCTATTGCACTTTTTACAATGGAAATATAATGACCTCCCGAGATATCAACACACCACCAGGAACAGGAATCAGGTAGAACTACGATCCGGTCAAACCCGTCCGACGCGTGCTTCCAACATTTTTTATTTATTTGTCTGCATCGTCGGATACCGCTGGGCGTGACGTCAGACGACCTAAACTGGTTAGCGAGGGAGCAGGGATTTGCCTCGTATCCTTCCGGTTCTGCGAGTGGTTTGGACCTGTTCTACATCAGGTTGCCGGTGGCGGCCGACCCGGCGGCGTGACGTATGGCCACGCGCTCGCGAACCACCCGAATTAGAGCGGGTCAGACGCCCCCGCGCCTATGCCAGTTCCACGCCGGTGCCTCCTCATTTCACTCTCAAACCGGCCACTTGCTCTGCTGACTCACGCCACTGTGTACGCAACAATTAGCAAACGTAGCGTCGCATTATGCGCCGACGACCGCTCGGTACCATCAAAGGTCAGTATCCGTACCAAAATGGTCACGCCTAATAACTGGTTCGTAAGTTGTAGTCGACCCAGTCGTAAAACTACAGGCTTGGGATACCAGTATTTTACGTTATGTTTACTCGATTGATTCGATAGAGTGAATGAAAATGATCTTGCATCTATTTGCGTTGCTTCGAGCTGTTTGTCTAACACGGATTTATCTTGATAGGCTCCGAGTGGTAATAATATTCGGGGTCACGGAATTGATCGACACCAATAAGTCTATAGAATAGTTAAACATAGATATGCTTAAGCTATAGAAACAAATGAGTGTATAAGATATTAGCATTTTAAAACAATTATTCAGTTGATTATGACTGAGTTAATAGTATTGATTGTCCAACAAGTTCTTTAATTAAAGCGGTTTATTATGTTAAACTATAATGTATGTTCGAGTAGTAATTAAAAGGTACGAGGCAATTTTACGACATATCAGTTATTTTTTAACTTTTCAGGATCATATTGACCGTAATTAAACATTACTGAGCGAAATACCACATTTCCAACGGACAACTGCAAAAACTTAAACAATTAAACCCTATTTGCGATTGAAACATTCGCAACGATTGACTACGGCCGTAGTGGTGCTCATGTATATTAATTTGCTTTGATTATTCCGTACAAGGTGGTGACGTTTGATGTTTTGTCAACAGAAGACGCAAGGAGGTGATGGAAGTCGGCGGGGAGCAGTGGCGGGCGTACTACAGCGGGGCGGAGCACCCGCTCAGCGCGGCCACGTCGGCGGTGCTGGACGTGTCCGACGAGCCGGGGCAGCCGCTCGAGTACTACCGCCTGCCGCCGATCGCGCAGGACTCGCACCTCAATCTGCACAAGGATGCCAAGCTGGTGGATGTGTGGCAGTAAGTTTTAAACTTTATGACACAAACTTAAACTGTTTTCAAATCTCACACAAAAAAATAACTTCGCTGAAACACGCAAATAATGACGAATCACTTATGATAATATTGTACAGTCGCGGAATGAAAAGGTTCGTCACCTTAGTGTCGGTTTTCGCTTGCACTAGGTACTGTCAGAGTCAAACCTGCCAACATAACAGTGCAAGAAACAGTGCTGCTAACATTTAAATAAATATGACGTTTGCTAACGAATAAGGTTTTGCTTGTTTATTTTTCTATCCCATCAGTGCAATGCAATGATGACATTGACCAATTGACAATAGTTTTTTTTATTTAAAAGAAATAATAATGGCAGGTTGAACCAAAAATAAGGTTTTAGTTTATCAATCATAATCTTCTTGACAAGATAAATCGTCAAACAACTTTGATCTGAATAATTTTGAACTTTACTGACGAACAGTTAAAGATTATTTTCTCTAACTCGAGATTATTCTGTAACATAGTTTCAAAAGGTAATATGTGCTCGCGATTCGTTGAAGGAATCAATTTGAAAACTGACGAACCTTTTCATTCCGTGACTGTACAATGTAAAGTAGGTATGTACAGTGTACATACCTACTTTACGAAAGGTAGCACAATTTACTGAAAGATTTTGTTTGTTTTTGCAAGTTAAAAACGATTTGGGAATATCGTAGTATAAAAATCGTAGATGACTACGTTACTAAGACTACTACGTTACTACGACTACTACGACTGCTACGAAAAAAAATCTGTAGTTTACGTAACTAATTTATATAGTTTTACACATTGTACGTTCTCTGATTTAATTTAGCAATTTATAAATAATAACTGTAAGTACAAAATTACCTTTAATTTAAATTATGTCATTTAAAAACCTCAGGTAAGTATAGGTAATTTCACAATTCCATTTTTCTGATTTCTAATAAAAACTGATGATTGATGTTGATTAGCATGATTTAAAAATGGCTGAGTAGTTTTTTGAGTAAATCTTTTCACAAATTAATGATTAAATGAATACTTAATAAACAAAAATATATTTTTTATAGATACGTGTAGAGTAGAGCGTAATCTCAATTAATGATATACGGATTAAATTACGGGCGAATGTTAAGCTGATTTAATTTGAAACTTATACGAATATGTAAAACGGTTAAGTCTCCAGACATCGACAACAATCAAGGTAAATATTGCGGAAAAATCGATGTTCGATTCTCACGGCCGTAGATCAAATCGAACGTTCGTGTATCAGAGCAATTATCATTATAATCGCCGAATTTCGAGGCGCGGTGAATACGGAATGAATTCGCGTAAAATTTATATGTAAACTATGATAATATGCAATTTTTTTGTAAGGCGTTTTTTGTGTGCTAAATTGTAACCGGGGTGTGTTTGGCTGAGTCTCACGGACGAGTACACTGAGACAAGACGCCGCGTGGCTTCCGGCCCCAGCGAAAGGTGTAAGAATAACAAATAATAAAAATGTTAATGTTCCACTCAATAAATCATAGGTGCTCATTTGAATACCTATGGCGGGATTAACGAAATAAGAGTTCGCAACTGTGCGGCGCCCCTCGCACTGCGAGGACCTGCCCGCATATGCCATTTGAAAAATTTGAATATTATGATCATATTTTTGTTATTCAATCATTGATTGTTTATTATATTGTTTATTTTGTATTTAATATAAGTATTGCATGTTGTGTTTGTCTCTTGTTTGAGTGTGTTAAAATGTATTAAACACTAGATTTTTTTTTAATGGATGATATTCAATAGATTCTAAATTTTGTCAAAGTTCAATCACTAAATTCCGCTAAATATTGAATGCCATAGCGTAGGTAGGTACTCGTAGTACCTACCTAATACAAATTATTCGTCACGATTTTTTCAACTCCAGTGTCTAATATAAAATTTAGTATAAAAAGGATGACAGGAACGGAGTCTCCGTATTCCCATAGAAATGCGACCCCGATCAAATTATGCTCGCTCTTTGAAAGAGGTTGTTAACAGCATCCTTTGAATAGCGGCGCAGAAATGAGCAAACGCCGGTTGACATTCTTATACAAGTAGTGCATAATGTTAACTTGACCCCATACAAACCATTTATACTTTTATGGAAGTTTTATTATATTCCATAAACATTGCATATAAAGGGAAAAAGTCGTTTAAATCCATGAAAATGTTAATTCTATGAATGGGTGACATTTTGAATATTTTTTGTTAAGATGCAAACACATATCTATCTAAATGGTCTTCATAATAGAAACTGTGGCATAGGGTGGGCGCTATGCGTCACCTATTTAGATAACGAGCGAAGTGGTAAATACATATAGTCCTCCTACGTAGCGCCGCACACGTAGCCGTGGGCCCGGTGCTCTTGTTCCAGAGGTCGCGGGCGTCCAGGAATGCGGAGCGCGACGCGACGTTTCGTGCTGTCATCCTCGTCACCGCTCACGGGAGTGCATAAATACAAATAATGACAATAGACGGATGTGGCTGGAAGCGGCTCACATTGACAAGGACGCCCAGGACTTGTCTCATTGTCGGCGCGCGGCCCACGCGCCGGTTCAACGCGCTGCTATTGCTCATTCATACATTCAAAATTATAACGAACTACGAGTCGCCCGCACCCATCGCTGCGCTGTGTCTCCGAATGCGTTTGTATGCTAATCGTTCAACGCCAGTGCATCGTCAGGTTTGGAGCACTGTATTTGTTGTCTAAATCGCTCGTATTATTTGAATTGAATGCTTGATAGATGTAGAAATGAACTAGTTCCGCCTATAGGTCCCTTCCAAGATCCGTCGTAGGCGTGAAAGCGTTACGTAAGAGCGCAGCTCGGTGCGGGGGCATAGTGTAACTGTTTGCGTCCTCTAGGACTATAGCCATTGCGGGTTAATACCTTCAGTGTATAAGCAGCAATAATCATTAATAGTTGTCGGAGGCTGTCGAATGCTAACGCCGAGATTAGCATAGAAACGCGCCGCGGGATGCCTCCGGGGAGGGCCTCGCCCTCTTGACCCTGTCACTGTTCGCACTTACAGCACTAACGGGAAATCAGTTTCTCCGCACTCAAGTTATATTACGATGTAAAGATAGAAAACACCTATATACATAATTAATGAACAAGTGCCTCGCTAAATCAATATTATCCATTCGATTGATCAGTTCATTATATTCAATCAAACGGAAAATCTATAAGGCAAACATGTAAATAATATTATAACTAAGAAAGGTTTTATTTAATAAATAGCCTGTTCTACATTTTAGCAAACGGAAAACAAGACGTAAAATAACTAAAGTTTGATGTTTCAAATTATTTTAAACAGATTTTCATTAATGAAAAAAAGTTGGCAAACGGCAAAAAGCGTTGGTAGCGCACACCGCATGGCGGTGGCTCAACAAAGAGCTCCAGGGAGCTGGAACCGTGTGACCCATTTAGAACCAGGACCGGTTTTTCCTTGAAGATACGTCGCATTGTTAATGACACAGCAGTTAATGCCATTCAATTCTCTCGAATACATCCAACCCTCTTACAAAGATAATAAATAAAAAGATAGTAACATCGTTATGTCCCCGCGTGGTCATCGCGTAGGGAAATATGAAATCGGGGCTTGACCATTCATTACTGCCCATCTTTTTACATGCGAATATTATTCAAAGAGCCCTTTACAGAAATTCTGTATGCATGGTTATGCGGATTATTATTAACGGACTAGCAGATATTATTACTTACCTACTAGCCGGCACTAACTCACAAAGTTTTAACTTAATTGGTCTTAAGGAAAACTAACGGGAAATTAATTGCTTACCTACCTACATATAGTTAGTATACGTAATCAAACGTTCATTTTAATGACATAGACAAATGGCGAAATCTTTTTCAATTAAAGTTTTCGATAATGTATTAGTTCCGTGAGAAAAGTAGCAATAAACCTACATTTAGTCGAATGATATATTCAAATAGAATGGAATTACGTTGCCGCATCCGCTGCAAGCGCCTCCTTCGTCTCATTTTATCGTCCGACAGATTCTAATCTATTCGTCAAACGATGGATAAACTGTCGTCGCCTTTGATTTGATTGCGATAATATCATCCGTGCTTTAGCAGTGGATATTATTTATAGAGGGGTTGTCCACATTTGAATACTACAAAGTTACTACTGCTCTACTTTTTCAAAGTTATAATGAAGTTAACCGTTTTTGCATATCATTTCAATATGCCTTAGCAAAGACCCACTAAAGCAGTAGAGAAGTGTTTTAATCGATATTGCCTGTAGGCTTTACAAAGTACAACATATTAAACCCCCTAAAATCTAAATAGCAGTATTAGAAATGGAATACACCTCCCTATATTGTCAGAGGTGAACACACATAGAGCTTTTAGAGCTTTTAGTGTCAATTCTATAGACTAGTAAAATACCTCTATAATAGTTATTTATTTTATAAGATTTCGCTATGTAGGTACATGTAATTTTTTTTGTGTCTGAATTTCGTTGATTACCTACTAATTTTTAGGGTTTTAAATGCGTATAAAAAATATTAATTTATAGCAAAAACTTTCTAAACTTTGCCGTTTTAATGAAGGAATTCGTAGCGATCATACATGCATGCAAAATAATAAGTATTTCCTTCGTGCAGATAGATCAAATATCAAATGTAGCTATTTCGATGACGTTCTTTGTAATTCATAAGAGATATTTCGTCAATGCTTAAGTAGGTAGCGCGGGGGGTTGCTGCACCCTAAGCATCGCATTGTCGAGATCTCGTCATGTGTGAAAGGGTGTTAAGTAAACATTGCAAATAATTATAATAGCAATTGCATCCGACTGCCTCACCGATCTCGCTTTGATAAGAAAATGTATATTTGCATGTAAAATGTGGCGCTGAGTCGTTAGATAAGGTGCTCATTCGCCTCCTTTATTACCGCGCGACTGTTATGGTAATCTGCATGCAACATGACACTGATATAAGATTAAAGGTTTGGGAACTAACTTTAGCTACCTGAGTTTATTTTTAATCTCTATCAATGAATTCCAATTTATTTTAAAATTGTTCGAAAACACGCTAGTCTAAACTATTACATTTTGAAGGTTACGAAGGGGAAACTAACATTTTTGAATTAGGGATATAGTTCAAATTGTGTTAATCATATGTATATGATATTATGGTATACGTAATCTATCTATATAAATAAAAATGAATTGATGTTCGTTAGTCTGATTGATTAAAACTCGAGAACGGCTGCACTGGGCCGATTGAGCTGATTTTGGTTTTAAAATGTTTGTCGTAGTCCAGGGTAGGTCTAAACGGTGAGCAAATACGCGCGCGATATTGTTTTTCTGTGACAGACAAAATTCCACGCGGGCGAAGCCGCGGGCGGAAAGCTAGTGTTAAATAAAAACGATTAAAAATAGTCTTAAATACATACATACTTTTTACAAAAAAGCTGTTTTGACATTGTTTAGTAGTTTAAGTAAATAATGTTTACTTTTAATAGAATGTCGTCTTCTAGAATATTAGTTGTAGGAAGCCCAGTGATGGCTGTAGCCGCGAGCGCGATTAGCAAGCGTGGTGGCTCGGAGTGCGCTCTCAGCTGTCAGCGCCGAGCGCTTTGTCTCGCGTTTTTGTAGGCGCCAACAATGAGCGACAAGCAAACACGGCATTGTGCCGCGCGAACATGAATAACGATGCCGCGCTGTTCGCCGCCGGCAAGCCGCGCCCGGATTAGCACGAATTCAATTTGCATGCTGCGCAAAAAGTAATCGATCCAATCCCTTCGGGATGTCACAACATTCAACCGTTACTCGACATATCAAATCATCTAGCTGTCCCGCATCAACGAAAAACTCTGATATCTTCCAAAATATTTTTGGTGGAGCTTTATCTTATCGGATGAGCGATTTCACACTCGACGTGTTTCTCTTACAAATCGCATGCATAAATCGTGAAGAATGAGCAGAGCGAGAATTGCAATCGGACACGGACGGTGCCGCGGTGGTGCGTCCAGCTCGCGGGAGGTCGCGCGTCCGGCCAATTCGGACGCATGAAATAGTGCCGCGCGACTCGCTTATCTAAAATAAACATCTGAGCGCCAATGAAACATGTCTTCAATTATCATAAATCGGCGCGCACTGACAACGGCCGACGAAAGCCGCGCCCCGCGCCGCTTGCGGAGGTGGCTGCATTCACATGCAAACAAATCAAACGACTTTAATGTGCTCGCTTACACGCCTTCCCTCACTACCACCGACAGTGTTTAGGCAACGTTTGTTGATACACGTCTGATTGCGAAAATAAACATATTAATTTATGAAGACAATAACTGGAACTGGAAGTTATAATTGGTTGTAATTATTAGCTAATTAAAGTTACAACATAATAGAAAGTAAATGGATTTAAACTAAATGTAAAGTTGAGTGTTCACAGGCTGTGACAAAGATTCAAATTACATAATTTACGTTTTAGCTATTTACCAAAAATATATCTGTTAAGTTTTTTTGCTTCATTACCATTTTCCTTTGATTTCTATTCTCTTGTAATGTAACAAATCTGGCGTTAAGACTGTATCCATGTGCCACGAGAGACTCGTAGTTCATTCGTTACAGTAAAACTACAAGTCATTTGAAAACCTTTTGATACAAAATGCAAATATTCTTTTTATAAGGTTTGTAGTAATTTAGCATGGACCCACGAATTTTTGAATGCCTCATAAATCATACTTTTTATAGCATGCTATTCAATTTTATAAATTCTATGTTTCTGATTAGTATTTCTTATAAAAAAACGGAATTTACCTACTCGACCAAGTTTGGGTTAATTTAATGAAGTTGTCCGATTAGTTTCTTAACTTTGTAGACCCTAAATGTTTAACAACATAAACATTGATAATTCTGAAAATATTAGTAAAATTAAATTCCTCTGTGGTTGAGGACTCCATGTAAAGCTCGCTTCCACTTTTCCTGATCATCTTTTCATCAGATGAGATTCAGGCCAAGAGCTTCTTTCTGTTGAGGAAAGAAGAATTGATAAACTTTTAGGAATAAGTACTCAATCAAGCTCAATGACACATTGCATTGTGCTGTTTTCATGCATTCATGTATCATGGTAACATGATCTCTATCTAATTCATGGTTGTCAACTGTTGTTTATAAATCGTGTTTTCAATATTAGGCAGGTTATTACCTCCTTACTCTTTCTATTTATTACAAAGATCACTGCGTAGGTAACTGTTTCATGGGAAAAATTATCAAGATACATAACTACCTATTCAAAATTACCCCCAATAAAAATAAACTACCTGGCACTGTCTTTAGGGACAAAATGTAGGTAGTCTATGTCTAGTACCCATAGTACAAGCTTTGCTTACTTTGTGTAAGTATTGTAAGTGTAAAATGTCCAAGGATATTTATTTATTTAATTTTATTTATGAGACAAGAGATGTGAGGACATTATGGAACTCTAAAAATATGGATGTTTTGGTTACAGATTAATTTAACATTTTTATTAAACATAATTATATGTAGACACTTAAGCCATTTAAGTTCAAACATCAGCTATCAAAAGGTTTGCTAATAAATAAGTATGAGTTTTCTTTATCTTTATTGCAATTTTTTCTGTTCTGTCATTTATCAATTTGATAACTTTATCTGAACTTTTGGTAAAGAAAAAGTTATTTCTGTAAGACCTACTTATTTTACGTCCCGGTAGATAATATACAATAAAGACCTGTTTTATCTATGTCTGTTTATAGTGATCAAATCATATCGATATGTTGTGCTTTTTGAGCGCATGTTAATGCATAATATGGTGTCTCATAAGCTTATCCCACAATAAAGCCAAAAAATGGCTACATTAATATAAAAATTAAAATTATATTAACTTTATAAAATGTGTAATATCTACCTTCTTTAAAACTTTTCCCAACTATTAGAGATTTAAGTGAATTTGTAATGTATTTTTCACACATTTTTTTTATCGCTTGGTGCTCGTAAAGCTCCTGTACACATTACGAGTACTTACTCGTAATGTGTACAAGAGCACGCAATTTGACCTACAAGTCAAATTTTAATTTTATTATTAAAATATAATAAAATAATATGTTAAATGAAAAAAAAATTCGATGATTATGTTGTTAAGATTTTTAAACCGGTGAATGTATTTTTTTAAAATAAATATTACTTCAAAATCACTGCCCAAGCCAATTTATTATATCATGATATTTAAGTTTCTTGATTATGCATCCGTTCGTGGATCCAATTTCGTTTAATTAATACTTCGTGGTTGATATATTATTAAGAAAGCTATAATTTTCAACCATGGCAAAATATTATGATAGTGCATGGCAGGTAGAGTGAGAATGATAGTGTGACGACTTTTGCGCGCGCACGATGAGATCGGGCGTAGAAATAGGTGCGCGCGCGCATTGTCGCCAATCACGCCTGTCTCCCCTCCGCAGGGCCGGCGGAACGCTGAAGGCGGCCAATGGCGCGCACGGGGCGGAGCTGAGCGAGCTGTCGGGGCTGCTGCACGCGGGGCTCGTGAAGCGCGAGCCCGAGGACCTCAGCCGCAAGGTGGCCGAGGAGCCCGAGCCGCACGCGCTCAAGCCGCAGCGACACAAGGTGCGTCACACGTCCGCACGCCGCCGCCGCGCGCGCACGCACTCACACACTTTCCTTACCGGTCACTCATGTATTATTTATCGCGGTTAGCGTACGATGCGCCGAGCACCGTGCTCGCGACGCACTAGCCGCGCCCGCCCGCGCCCTACACCGGCCGGCCAGCGCTGCCCGCCCAGTGTCCACCGCAGGCGACCCCGAAGGACTATACACAACCGGGATTGAATTCAATATTTACGTGATCGTGTTATTAGCGAACCGACTAGTGTACGTGAAGCTGTGAACTGTGTTACGACGCGGCATGTACGCGTCGACGTTGCGAAGCGGACAGTTGTCCTGGGAGAACGCGTGTAACAGACGCGTGTGTCCGCAGGTGGCGGTCGGCGAGCCCGGCGAAGCGGCCTCCCCGTCGCCGGTCCCGTCGCGGGCCTCCTCGGCCGGCTCGCTGCTGCCGGACGCCACCATGTATGCCGCCCAGATGTTCGCGCCGCCAGGCACCCCCAGCCCCACCCCCTATGGCGAACAGTACCCTCGCCAACCTGCCACCTTCGCCGGCGAATCTTACTACAGAGACTACTTTGTCAGTGATGGCTACCAGCAGAGGGCAGCACCGCCATATGGGGAAGCGGAGTCAGTGCCAGCTTCCGCGTTTGGGGAGCGATACGCAGCGCCTCGCTATCATAGTAAAAGTGTTATCGCGGCCGCTGGCTTGACTGTGGACCTGCCATCACCGGACAGCGGAATTGGCGCAGACGCCGTCACTCCTCGAGACCACACCGCCGTTCAGCAGGTCGGTGCTACGAGAGTTGGGCGCGGGCGGGCGGGCTTCTCACACACATTACTACACCACACAATACAAAACAAAACTATACATTGCGGACCACATAACTTATTTTGTTTACAGTCTATCATATGAAAGGTATTTATTTACCTTAGTATGGATGAAACGTAGAACAAACTATACGAACATTAATACCTTTTACATAACAATGTTTATCAGCATGATTCTGTATTATCTCGATAACTACAAGATCGAGATGTTCACTCCTGCTGAAGCCCACCCGCGCTCAGTTTTATTTATTGTTTCCACACATACTTGCATCACTAACTTGTGAGTGCTATTCTAGTCAAATAAGAATCTTATACTATAACCATATTCAGTTAATCAGACATACATACTTAGCTTGGAATCTTATTAGAATGTTACATATTAACGGCTGCATTTATCGACCTATGAGTAGGTAGAAGAATAGGCATCACAATTACTAAGTCCTATTAATTACAGCTGCGCTGATGAACAGACAATAGAGCCAGCGCCACGCGAGGCCTTCGGAGTGATCTAGCCGCTACACCCCGCATTTGACATACAATTTATGTGTTTACGCATTAAAATAACAAATTGTCATGACTTTAATCGAGCTGCACAGCTAAGTGGTCGTGAAGGACGCCGTGGTGCCGAGGTGTGGCAATCACGAGCAATTCCCTACAATAATCTAGATTTAGCATTTATTAAATTCACCTTTTGTTACATTGACGTACCTAGTCAATCTAAATAATTGACACTAATGTATTTCTAGACGCTGTCTCGTTGCGCTATTAAACTTGCTTCTGAGTCGTACTGTTTATTTAATCGCTAACAATATTTTAAAGCATAAATAAACAGCACGCTATTTACTTGTACAAGTTAAAATTGATTTTAGTAGGTACCTACCAAAAGATGGAATTTTTGTGTAATTGTAAGTCTTATAATTGCGGATATTAATAACGATTACGTATAACTATGTTATTTTAATGTGAAACCATTATAATAAAGTAGCTCTAATTAGGCTTAATTTATGGAAAATTGTGTCATAAAGAATTACACCAGTAAATACGTGACGCAAGATATTTTTGACTTTTCATGGAAATAATAAGCCTCATTATTCTATTAGGCTGATTTAATTAATATGTTTGTATAATATCAAACATAGCTTACTTATGTTGGTAATTATTTTTTATCTACTTCATTGTTTCTATACGTTTATGTGAGAAAATATACTAACTAAAATGTTGATTTGACTGGATTAACATTCATGTAATTTAAATAGCAATGTCTTTAGTATTGACTTAAATCATATTATGGCTCCAGTTCATCAGTTTATGTATTGAATTAATTTTAACATACGATGTAGATAATAATATTCGACGTTAATAAAAATTCAATATCATTTTAATAACAATACACAATGCTAATTTACAACTGAAAAGATAAAACTCGACAGCACAAAGTGTTCCAAAAGTCATAACAAAGTTAGTAATCGTTAACATTTAACATTCTAATACAGCATGATTAACTTACATAAATACGTTTTTCTCTTTTGGTCATGCTAAGTGATTATCATTGAGAATACTATTTAGTTACAGCACAATTTTTCCGCTTAGCTGGGTATGTCTGAATTACTTTTGTTTTGATTCCACACGTAATTTATTTGGGTTTTGGTGCTTTAAAACAAATTTTACCTACCACCTGGCCATTATGGAAATCATTGGGGGAGGCCTATATTCAGCAGTGGACGTCCTATAATATGGCTGAAATGATGATGATGATGGTGATGAAAACAAATATCAGTTTCAAAATGACTATTAAGATACCAATAATATGTACAAGGGACAGAAAAGCTGGAAAATTGATCTATATTTTGGTAGATGATACCCATTCAAATAGCCACATTAGTCACCTGAAATTCTGTTACATAGCATCTTTTTGGAGCTGATTTTTTTCTTATTATATTGTAGAGTTCTACAGTTCATGAGTTTTTAAGAATTGTACACAGTTACTACACAGAGGTATAGTAATAAATAATTTATGTTTGTATAGTTTAAACACAGGCACACACACACAACAATATTAGTAATATTGATGTGCTTATGAATTAACTTCGAATTTTAGTTCAATCAAATGTAAATAGACTATACAAAAACATTTGCCTAGAAACCGAGAAATGCATTCTTATATGACATCTAAAATCGGCTCACAGCTCCTACAACACAACCTCAGTATTACCTGCTCGTTTCATTCTTTCGAAGTCGTGAACTGCAGAACCGTGTATCAAACTATTAGGGATGAAGTAGTAAAGGTTGCTTATTGTCCGCGCAGTCGTTCGACTACACGGTAATATGCCAGCAGCCCGTGGGAGAGGACGGGCGGGGCACGCCCTCGGCGCACCACTCGCCCGCCCAGCCGCCCAGGACCAGGCCCTGGCACGACTTCGGCAGGCAGAACGACGCTGACAAGATACAGATTGCTAAACTGTAAGTATTAACTATATTATTAACGTTAAAACGCGCATGCATTTGTTACCTAATTGATCTATCGTTTCTGCTGAAATTCAGTGTTTTGATGAACTTTATTGTTTTAATTGACCTATCGCCAACATATATTCGTTATTTTCTCATTTAGAACGTAGTAGGCTTTTTTCCAATGTGATTCCAATCTCCCGTTGTACTTCCGTATTTCCTGAGTAAAATCTTTTACTTTTATGACTTATCTTACTATTAATATTCTAATTACCAAACCACCTAGGGCGCTACGGAAATAGTGCGTGTGACGTAGTTCTACATCACTTCGTTTTTTACTCGGAAACTGAGCCATTTAATGCGTGACTGTTCAATAACAGATTGATCATATTATTTTTTTGTTACATTGAAAGGTTTGTGTTAAGCTCAGACAAGTCATTTGTTAGGCACCTAATATGTAGTAGGCAACACTTTTATTGATCGTGATTTTTAATAAAATATTATGTCGTACTCTTTACTAACAAAAAGTGGCTTCTCTTTTATATGTTACATAATATACGAGGTAGCTGATATCATAAACAATAATATCACAGAAGCGTTTAATCATTTTAAATAATAATAACACGCGGAAAAATCTCGTATACTACAAATCATGGGTAATTTGCATAATTTGGCGCTTATTTTTTGTCCAACTGTTAGCCATTTATTAGTTTGTTTCCGTGGTAAAAACTTTATTTTGATGCGCATCGCTAAACAGATAATATTAAAAGAATATAAAACAATGTAAGTAATGGTGTCAATTAAAGTTAACATGGTAAACAACAAAACAATTTTAGTGTTAACAAGAGTAGGCTCCGATGCGATTTGTGTACGTGTAGGCTGGACATTACTGGACAAGCCAGGCAACTATTGACCGACCACTTTGCACCTCGCCGCATGTGTATTGTAGCATTTGTAGCCCTTTCTAAGAAGAATAAAATACGTTTCGGATACTCACACATGCAAAGGCATTTTAAGTTAAAACGCACCATTTAGCGAGTTATATGAAGGAGTCGTTTAATAAATACACAGGTTAACTGAGGTTGGACTCGTAGTGGTATTATGAACCTACTTAAATTAATTTAAAGTCAGTCTACGATTAGATTATTCTGTTACTTAATATAGGTACGTATTCATTCATTCATGGTAACATTACTACCTGCTGATTTAGATAATAGCTAATGTGTAAACACGTATACATTAAACAATATGTATAAATTTTAAAGCCTCTTACTTTTATGACTCTGACAAATCACTACGAACAAAACTGGACGTGATTGTGTGCGTATATGTTGATATACTACGTACACTCGTACAGCGGATACTTTTCTAAATGGTGCTAAACTGTGTTTCGTGAGTGTTGAATACAACAGTAAAAGGGTGTGTAAAGTGGTCATTTCCTTAATTTCTCTCATTGATTAAAGCTAATAAAATCTATTAGCTTTGCCAGTGAAGACGTACACCTATTGTTGGCGTGAAAATTTGACACACACCGTTATTTTTCGCACTAGTATGTTATATTTGTCACATTAAACTATGTAGGTATTGTGATAAATGCTAGTACTTACTCTTTGTTCTTATGGCCGAAATAATTTTCAATTCCCAAATTAATGCATCGCGTTATTGCTAATTAACCTGCGCAACTGACGTAATTACTTATACCTTAATTAAGTTGTTAATGACTCATTTTTAAACTTATGATCATTAGTTATTCCTGGTTTGTACCCAACTTAGTAGCTATAAAGATATTGGCAAATAATGAGTCACAATTTTTATGCCGATAAAAGAAAATATTTTAAAAAGTAGTTACCTACCTAAAATGCATACTTAAAGTTTGAATTCAGTTTTTTTTTGTAGTGCAAATGTAGGTTTACATATTCATTGAAATAAAAAAACTTGTCTTTCTTTACTTTATGAATTTAGTTACAGCTGTTTGGCACGAAGCTTATTAAGTAATTATTAAATGATGATAATTTCCTTCCACGCAAACTTTAATGGATAGCAACGTAGTAAGTATTAAATGAGTCTTATTGAATATTTTCCATAAAGTAATAAAGGTGTGCATTAGATGGACGTCAAGCAATCCAGTCCAATGTAAGATAAAGAGGGCGAGTAGTACTAACGCTAACAAATCGTCAAAGAAACGACTCCAGCGACGCGGCGGAAGCAGTCGTCGACATGATAAGTGCATTAGCATTATTATCTCGATAATTACTTGCTTGCATTTGGCCCAAATAGCTCGGTCGCCTCTACCGTCTTAAATTACCATCGATGTTGATATGGGCTCGTTCTTCGCGCTCGCAGGCTGCTACAGTCATTCCGATTCCCTCCGAATGTTTGGACTATTACTTACCAGCCAGTTAGGCACTCAAAAAGCCCTCGATGCGTCCACCAGCCACTTTATTTACTTGTCTGCTCAACGCTGGAATGAGCTTTTAAAAGGCAGTAACTTAATCAACTGATGTGTGCGTATGTGTTTACCACTTAGAACGTATTAGACCTCATTCTTCGAATCACAAATTAAGATACTCAAGTAATTTATTATTAACAAACGATGCAAGGATTGGATAGGTTTTCTTAATACTCGTAATATTCAAATACAAGATTCGATAATAGTGCTGTTGCTGCAAATCTAAAAGTACACAATGAAAATATGTACACTCAAAATGCGAACCTTCTCCATTTTTGAAGTCGGTTAAAAAGAACGATTCTGCAAGCGTTCTCCGTTTCCGACAGTCATTTCTCCATTGGCATTGGACTGATCACTAATAGGACATTTCGTTTGTGAGAGATTCACCGTCAGAATGTCTCATCTATGGACGTTTCGCCTGCAGAATGGTTCGCATTTGTGTGTTTCGACGACAGGTGTTTTCCACTATGGACTTTTCACCGACAGAACTTTTCACATGTGGACGAAAACTAGCCGATTTTTATATTCATTCGCAGTCTGTTTATTATTTTAACATGAATTATAATGTTATTTTAGTGACATGTTTTAGGTATTTCTTTATTTTTTTGTGTGAATAATGTTTGGATTAACATTAACATTCAATTTATTAAGCCTTATATCACAGAATAATAATAAGTATATTTACAACGATTGCTAAATATAATGGTTTTGATTTTGTATTGTTTTTAATTGCGGGTAGATAAAAAAAACATAAACCTCCATATTATAAAATTAATAAAAATATTTTATTAATTACCGCCCATAGCCTACACAACTAATATACAAATGTTTCATTTCGAAATTTTTCGAAAATTCGCGTCCATACCATAAAATTTTCTGTAAATAGGTTAATTTAAGATTTCATGGTTTTCCTTTCATTTGATTTATCAAGTTTGTTAGAGAGATTTCATCCTTATACGTAACCCTAACGATCGATGCAATAAAAGTACAGGGTGTAATTTTTAACAGATTTTAGTTGGTTCGATTCCCGGGTGTGGTAGGCAATTTTTTGGAAATCTTTGAATGCAGTTCTATTTCTTTTCAAAAATAAAGGCATGTTTTCTTTGAGTAGACTTTTTTATCTACAGTATTAAGAGTACTTTCCCGGTATTACAATATTCCATCCTGTATATCTTCACTTTGGCGTCTAAATAGAAATTACTTAGCTGTCAGTCAATACCAACTCAGTAGATTTTAATGTGGTATGCTACAAGTAGATTAGTAATTTCTCTAATGACTTTTATGTCTTATGTTTGAACATGTTTTAATTCTTTTCACGTCCGCGTGATGAGGCGTTTACCCCTAATGCAGTGCCCCCATCCGGTGGTCTCGAAAGATTTTCTTCGATCGTTTACTAGGATGGTAGCAGTGAATAATTACAGTGTAGCGAGGATGAGGTTGTGACGCTTCGTGCTGGCCGCTCCGTATGCGTAGGGTTGGCATTCCCATGAAGAAAGAAAAAGGATTAACAGGCTATTCACATGCGTTAAGTAACGGGTAATGGTAAAGCAAGAGTTTTATTTGTTTTGCTTTTTTTCGTATCCGCTACCACAGATGGTTGCAAGTAAACATATTCAGCTGCATACATACATACATACATGGTCGTGCTTGAATATCTGTGTATTGCGGAAAATGGTAGCCCTAGGTGCGCGGGCGCAGCCGGCAATCAGCGCGCCGCCATTACGCTGGCTAAGCGTTCTCATTAACCACGGCGGCCGCTTGGCGTGCTGCGTATTCTCCTCCATAACATACTATCAAGCATCCCATGTGTATTAACAGATAGTATCTTTTAATTTCCATGAATTTAGAACGGTTAGAGTTAGTATTACTGTAATATACACTTTCGAGAACCCATAAATGTTAGGAATATCTTGTCCAAGTTCGAAGAATGATAGCTTACCTATTTAAGCAGAGGAACCTTTTTTCTTAAAAAGGAAACCAAAGAACTGTGCAACCAGTCACTGTTTTACATGGGTTCCTTGAAATAGATTTCTGTTTAACTTTCATCAGTAAAGCTTGGGTATCTTCAAAATACAATATCGTTTGTTCCAAAGTTTTATGTAGATAATGTAGTGACTACATTTACTTTAAACTACATTGTAGTCTTACTTACTTTACTTATGTACATACCAATTTGCTTGAATTTTATTACATTCTGATTTATTATGAAATAAAGATTTCAGTACCTACTTATAAGCAAGTCAGTGATGTCGAAAAAATATTCTTCGAATATTATTTAAATCGTATTGTTTACAATACAATGAGTTGTGATCAGACGAGATGATCGCATCGATAGACTCGCCTTGTAGTATATTATGTACGCTTTTATTGATGCAGGTGCATTGTCGCGTTCTATATTTGACTATGATGGTGTGTAATGTCTGTTTTTGTGCGTAGTTACGTTAAAGTTAAACAAAGCCGGATTTATGCGCATCTAATTTGGGGCGGGCGCGGCGGCGTGCTCGCGGTTGGCCGGACTCTTATCGCGCTGCGTTTTTACCGCGAGCACTTTGTTGTCGCTGCGTCCAGAGACTTTTTGCACACACATCAATTTCCTCGCCTCGTCGATTGATTTATTCATGAAAGGCCCTCGTCTTCACGCAGGAAGTGCCTTTTTTCGGCTGCGTCGTCGCTGAAATTTGTAATGAAGCTCATTCGAAAACAATGTGTTATTTATTTCTGAATAAGAAAGAATTGTGTTCTTGATCTGTACGTTGAAAACGTGAGACTATTTTGTTAAAAATCAATACCCATTTATCTCTGAAATGAATTTTTAGGAGGTTTGACACATGTATTTCTTATTGTTATGAGTCAGCATTTTTTATTCATAGCATAATCTGCAAATTTACGTAAGTGGATGTAATCTAGGATCGCATTGCTCATTGTAAGAAATTAAGGAAAGCTTGCACAATGAAAATATCGGGATAGATCATCTTTGCAAACAAAGGATAGTTGAAATGACAGTAGAGAGCAACGTCGCGAATGTAAATTGCGCCTGGAATCACTTAGAGAGCATCAGATAGCCGAACGCCGCTGCGGCCGATCCGTCAATGTCGGCTCACGTTTGCATTACACGGCATTTATCTGAACAAGCTCGGTTTAAATCGCAAACATCAGCGGGCCTGTTTACCAAATTGTTTCCAATAAAGCTTAAGTAATGGTGTAACCGCCGCGTCGTCGTCTGAGGTACCTACGCAAACCGGCATACCTAAATACCACCAGAGGTTTCATTAGCGGATTAAAATATTTCATAACGATTTATGGCTTTTTATCGTGTTACATAAGTTAAAGCGGGGTACAATAGAGTCGGCTGATAATGACATCGGCCCTTCCTAGTGCATTTTCTCTTTGTGTTACTGAGGCAGGCGTGGGCGCAGGCCGGCCGCCCGCCGCACGCCGCTCGCTGCGTCGCGCAGCTCACGCGCCGCCGTTGCGTCGCTAACGAGCTTCGGCACGCGATCGCTAATTTAGCGGGGTTTTCCTTCCGCCGGTCCCACTCGCAGGAAACTGCGAGAAAACACACTTTTTCAATGCGCACTACGAACTGGATCTCCACGCCTTTATGTAACGACACCGCTGACAAGCTTTACTGGCGGTGCAATTAAGATTTCCACTTTTTGCACACTTTTATTACTTTACTTCATGGAAACTTTATTGTGGAGAACGTGTATTCGTAGATAAGTATCTCAAAGAAGAAATCGCACTTTTTCTAAATGTTTCAGAAACCAGATTGTAATGTGCGTTTTATTTCCCGACGGTCATTTAGAACCACTCTCCTACTGCGCTACTCAGTACGCGCAAGATTTTGGATGTTTATCTTTCTTTTGAATACACGCAAAGGTGTTCGGCACGTCATGCCGTTTATTTTCGATGGCAAACAAAGATGCGTTATTTATGTTTTGTATGTTTGTGTCAGGTTTTCCTCGTACGGGTTCAAGTACCACCTGGAGACGGCTAGCAGCAGCTCGCAGCGCCGGGAGGACGACCGCATCACGTACATCAACAAAGGCCAGTTCTACGGCATCACCTTGGAATACATACACGACCCGGACAAACCCCTCAAGAATCAAACAGTAAAGGTAAGTGTTTCCTAAGAATTAAGTTATTGGCCAAGCCAAGTATTAGTCACCATGGTTTATTCTGCGAATTGATTAGGAATTAATTAATATATTCTATTTACCATTTGTACGCTTACATACGTATAAATTATAGGTACGTATGTAATTATTCTTTTTAAATTACAGTCCTTATGCTTAATTACTTAAACACATAAACGTGAATAAGTAATTACTTGTGTCTTCAGTTCAACTTTAATGTGAAACTAATCTGACGTAAGTGCATCCATTTGGATGTCTTGTAACATTGTAATATAATATCCATTAATCATATACTTTGTATTTGCTACATTTAGAAAACGTTTATTTTTGTGTTTCCTTCTACTAACCACTGCTGTAATTTAGATCACTGTCAAAATGTCAGACCTTATAATAGGTAAGTAGTTGATAGTCGGTTACATAATTATAGTAGCAGACGTTTCTTGCGGTGAAATTTTAAAATGTGGGTAAACACTAAATAGTATTTTGTATTCTACTCGTAGTCTTCAGATGAGAGTCATTATCTTAGTAGTGGTCAGCTGAACGGAACGCACGCAGGCATTAAGGGTCATGAATAAACATCAGTAACATAGTAGCCATGTAAATAATTACAATCTTCTGGCACTATGACCCTTCGGGGCGATTGACATAAAAACCTCGATGCGCTTACGCGGCGCGATGAGCTGCGGACGATAAAATCAATTTTCAACCAGCCAACGCGGTAAAACCTTACATCGTAATGGGTAGCAAAATGAATTCGAAATCTTCATAGTTTGTTCAGTTAAATATTGAGTATAGGTATAAGCTTTATCAATTATCAGATTGGTCGTAATAGTCCCCCTTTCACTGCGGGTGGATCAAATCTCAATAGAGTACTTGTTTTGAAAATAGCTTACAAGTATCTACTTAAAATGATCATAATACAAAACTTATCTCAACAAGTCTTCATTTCATTCAAGCTTTACGAACGTGCATACTTACTACATTGTTTGGAAAGCTATCAATCGATGTTTATCGTTTACAGTACATTTTTTTTAAAATTGCCGGTCCGTATAATAAACAGCCGTAAGTTTTTACGATAGTTATTAACATAAGTGTGTTAAATTTGGAATAAACAATAACGTTCAAATTATGCATGTATTTGTGGAAATATATTAAAGATGACATATTTATAAGAATATACGGTTGTATACAAATACATAAGCTTTTATTGAAATTTCTTATAATAATTTACAGTTATCACATCGCTATGTAATTAGTGAATCACAATGCGTAGAAAGAAAATCTTCCAAATGCATAATATACTTAGTAAATCGAACAAAACGTACTATCTGTTAGCAGTAACTTGCCCTTAAAGGAATAGGCAATCGTAAAACACGGTCGTGAGGCAGCCTCTCGTCGAACATCTCAATTTATAACTCGACGCATCCGTAAGAATAAAACGTACAAAATTATTGCTTCTGTGCGGAAATGTAATCGATGTTTGTTCAATATTTACGAGCTGAATGTAACGCGTATAATTTTATTGGCCGGACCATGCGCCCACGGGTGTGTCGTGTGTCGCATCGTGCGACGCGTCGACGCGTTTTGTCGCGCGTCCTTCGCTCGCCGGGAAACTGCAACCGCAACACCGCGGTCAGCTTACCTTGCTCCTGGTCACTATTTCTGGTTCACTGTCATGTATTCACTTTCATATTTTTGTTTATCCTTTCTTTTTGTTTTTACGTTCACGATTCATCGGTTTTCCTTCGCAATAAAAGTTAAAATCATGACTGTGACGCATACAATAAACAATACAAAGACAATAAACAAGTATGTAGGTATTATCCTTTAATAATCTTCTTAGCAGTACATAATTTAAAGAAATTTAATATCCACCGACAGAGTTGTCATTGTAGAGTCGTTACGACTTTAATATTCTAACTTTAGGTACGGTAAGATAACGTTTACCGTTTATTTACCGCCGAGAATTCTGTAACTTAATAATTTGCATAGTTATCGAAAACGTTGGAAAGTCTTTAGATAGATAGGTATCATGCAGTCAATTAGCGAATCTTATAGAATGATACACTATAGCGTGACTTGACTGGGCTATTAACTCATGGGAAACTTTACTCTAGACAAAGAAGCCGCCGCGTGGGGACCCGCGTGTCGCGTGGAAATCGGAAATCCCCTCGATTATTGTTTCCTGACACTTCCTTAGAAAAACAACATGACAAATCACAATCTTCTACAATAAAATTGCATTATTTTTTACAATGCACTGGATATTCTTGAAAAACCAGAAAATCCACTTTCGGTAATCTCGTTAATCATGTTCAGATAATGGGAGACCTCGTCAGAAATCAATTTTGCATTATTAAACCTATTTTATGCTCTAAATTACATTTACTAGTACAAGTTCCTAAGCAATATTAAAACATTTAAATGTAAAGTATAGACATTGTGTTATAATCGCGGCTGAAGCTCTCGATATTCAATAGGTGAATTTTCTTTATTTTTTGTTAGCGAATAATATATTCAAACACGTTATATCTCGATTCAATGGGCTTAGATCGGAATAATCAGAGATACAATGCGACATACGTTTGAAGTTATTATTAAGGCCGTAAGTGGGCCGCGGGTCCGGCGGACGGCCGCTATCGCATTCAGCGGTTAGGTATAGAGCCTTATCTCGGCGCAATCGAGTCCGCATTGTGTAGCCGCGCCCGATAATTAAGACGACGCTTTTGACATTCGCCATATAGGAATACAATGACCGCCCCGGGAGTCCGCGCTCCGATCGGATAATATCGCTGCTTTTAAACAATAACCATTCTGCATTATGATAAAATAATTTCAATGCACCAAACTGCATGTTTTAATGAGCATTTTTGAGTTGCAAACATGGTGTTGAATCCCTAGCTAGGTGCATGTTCATTACTAACATGATTCTCTCACGCTCCATTCCCTAAGAAAGTAAAAGCACAATGTGTTAATACGATTATCGTATACGTTTCTTTATAAAACTGCAAAAAATTGCTAACTACTCCTACAATCGTTCACATACAATTTACTCGTAGCCTTATCGAACATAGCTAAAAATTTTAAATTCACACGCAATGCGAATGCATTTCGCGTGTCAAAAAGCGGTTAAGAGATATAAGGAATTACAGTAAACACAGAGATTTGGTCGGCGCGGGTGTGCGTGGTGGGATTGTAATTACCGCGCGGCACCGCCCTTGTTTCGGCAGAGCTGTGCACCGNGTATACATTGTACTGAAGATGTATATTTTGGAGTAAGATAATTGACCTAAGTCACTACAAAGTATACGCGAGCAGTACGCAGCGTATGCGTACTGGTCGTGTATAGTTTGGAGGAGCTTAGTAAAAAAAGTCACATCCAAACTATACTCGATTAGTTTCACACCCTTGCGTTCTGGCTATGTATAGAATGGAAAGACGCGGCAGAGCTTTGCACCGATAGCATCGCGGCCCGGCCCGGCTGCGCCCGCGTCACGCGTGGTGCGACCAACATACTCGTATGTACAAACCAAATTCGACTTTTCGCAATTCACTGAACACCGCTGCCGTGCTCCAAAAACAGATCGACTCAATTTCTTGTGTCGGAACCGAGCGTACTGATGACGTTCGCACGCTATAAAAACACGCATTTGCATTTACATACCGAATGACAAATAACAATTTAAAATGTTATCTAAAGAAACGTTAGCCAAACATATTAAGTAGTATCGCTTTCGTACCCTTTGTGTGAAGTATATTGTCAAAAACGGGATCGATCAATCATGTAGCATAGGGGTAATTAATCACCTCGCTAGGATAGTGTCGCCTTACTTCTTATTTGCAAATTTAAGGGTCACAGAACAGACACACTTTATAATGAAAAATACAAGTGCATTTTTAATAAAAAGATATGGTAGGTACTCTTCATTAATCACTGCCGCTGGTAGAGTCTGCATTAATAAATGTCATTGTGCCAATAAAGATGTCATGGTCTTACACATTCTTTACATTGTTATAAACGGTATAAACTTGATATTGAAACAAATCCATAACAATAAGGAGTAAAAAACAAGGACAGGACAAAACTATTTATTATAAGGTAATTAAGTACCTATATTATACTCAAAGTCCAAGTACAACGTATCTAATTGCAATCGGAAATTCAAAATTAGATTACTTCGTAAATATACCTATAATTAAATTTAATGTAGTAAGAATGTACCTAGGTAATGGTATAATTTAAATACCAATGCCATTTAATACCATTTAAGCGGCGCTGATAAACTTCCGCTTAATGTACTTATTCTTGGCTTCGATTAAACCGTATCTTGCGTGTACGAAGTGCACCTACTCATTCAGAGCATTTTTTACTCGAGTTTTTATCGCTACACTGACATCATTGTGTTCACTTTCGTAGCAACGGAAACTCGCGTAACGAGACACTTCGTTGTTTTTATTTTCTTTTTATAATATTTTGCGATTTTAATGATTGCTCCCGTTTGCCTTTTTAAGGCGATCGTTAATGATGCTTTTTACACTCGACATGTTACGCTTGATGAGGGATTATAACGGCCGCATTCTGCCCGCGGTTCCTGCGCACCTTTCAGACGCGAGTGAAGGCCTGTCATATGAGACAGATCGAATATTTCTCACATAGGGCACTCGTGTGTAATGAAATTTTCTTTCAAGGCCTAAAAAAAGATAATTTGCCGTACAAAAAGCGGCACAGTAATTTGCATGCGTGCGTTTACATTTTGGAGTTGCCAATCACGGTCACGATCAATCACTCGTAGCGATGTCTCAATTCAACTGCACCCTTGCGCTCGAAGTTCTTCGCGATCGCTCCCAGCTATCAGGAAAAAACTAATGATTATAAATAGCAGAATTATACGTTAACTCAATAAAAGTCCCAGCAACGGCATTTCTGTAGTCTTAAAATAGTAGTAGGTATATATGTAATAGGCGTATTCACAGTTTTATTA